TTCAGCTGGACCTCGGGGGTAAAACTGTACATCTGTTGTGTTGATTCCGAAAGTAATTGTTTTTTGCTCTTTTGCATTTGCTGTATTTCTGCAGCACTTTTGTGTATTTTCTGATTTGGAATTAATAGATTTGCTCTGTGAGAATGAGTGTGCCAGTTGTCAGACAATGCTTCTCTGTCCACAACACAGCCACAGGACGACAGTATGAGACAGGAGAGGATAGCATCAGTCACACACCAGCCAGTGTCAGACAATGCTTCTCTGTCCACAGCCCAGCCACAGGACAACAGTATGAGACAGGAGAGGACACCATCAGCCTCACACCAGACATCGCCAGACTCTGCACATCTTCCAAAATTCAAAATAATGCAGACAGACCACTTTCCTACAGCATAGTTTAGTTAGTTTAGTTCATTTATTATGCACCCCATACCCATCTTGTGGGCGGTAGTGGAAAGGGTTACAGAGGCACATAATGGGCTCAGGGACTGAACCCCACAATTCATTTAGCTAAGCAAGTTACAATCTTGATGAGCTAGTTACAAAAAAAATTCAATATAAGTCATCACATCAACAATGGGTTCGAGATCGACCTCAAGTACAGGTTCTAAATTAAGCAACTGACATATGTGGAGAGCTAGTGTCAAAATTTATATGTTTGTCCTGCACACCGCCCCCCATCCAGTGGGCAGCGGTGGATAGGTTACAATCACTTAGTTACTACCTACAGTTAGCAAACTGGGGATATTTGGCTAAAATTTCTGGTAGCAGATCATTTTGAATGAAATATTGACACATCGCTGGAACATTGGTTATAGAATTGTCTCTAAATTCACGTATCTTTTCGCACTCCATCACATAGTGACGGAGAGTGTGCGAATAATTTTGTTGACACAGTTTACATTTGGTCAGGTCTACATCAGCAGATAATGAGAATTCCCAGAGATACTTGTAACCGAGTCTAAGCCGAGCAGTAGTAACATCTAGAAGTCTGCTGATTTTATTGGATGATCCATAGATGTGTGGCTCCTCTTGCATGATAGTATGATGATAGATGGAATTACTGGTGTCAATTTCACTTTGCCTCAGATCTACAAGATCTTGTTGAAGTTCTCGGTGTACAGCTGCTCTCAGATTGCTCATTGACAATCCAAGGTTACACTCAACGGCTCCTTTAAAGGCAGATTCTTTGGCTAACTTATCAGCTCTATCATGCATTCGGAGGCCAACATGAGATGGAGACCACATGAAATGGACTCTGTTACCATCCTTAATAATTTTGTTGTATTTGTGTCTAGCTTCGGACACGAGCATGTTACAGTTATGTCTTAAAGAGTTGAGAGCATTTAAGGGTGATAAGGAGTCACTTACAATTAATGTATCAAGTTTTGAGACTTGTACACATTTCAGTGCAAGGATCAAGGCAAATAGTTCAGCATATGGTGTAATAACGGCAATGGAAAAAGAACAACCAGAGCTCAAACTTTCCATTACAGTCAACCTGAAAGGAGAAATAATAATAACACCACAAGACCAACAGACTGCAAATTACTTAAAAAAAGTAGGAGTCCTGCAAGGGAAACCTGTATGCTTGGAAAAGCTGGACCCTTCAGAAAGACGCACACGAGTCGTGCTTTTCGGATACCCAATCGACTTTCCCCTGGATCCAGTACTAGAACACAGGCAAATCCTGAATGCGGAACGATGCCGCACAAAAGTGGACAAGGCAGCGACACGTCAGGTTCTGGTGACCGTCATGGGACATGTGCCAGAAACATTCAGTCTTGGAAATTGGGGAACATACCGACAGAGACCATACGTCCCAGAACCCCTGCGCTGCTTCAGGTGTCAGAAATACGGCCACCATCAATCACGCTGCACCGGACAGGAGAGATGCGGAGTGTGCAGCCTGAGACATCCAACCAAAGACTGTATAGCCAAGCACAAGGCAAACCAGGCCACAACAGCCAAATGTCCAAATTGTGGAGGCAAACATCATGGCTGGAACACAATCCGAGTAGCTGAATCTTAAACAACGAATAGCGGACAGTACAATTTCCACAGTGATTCAGATAACTCCAGTACGGACACTTTGGATTTACCTCACCTCTTCAACCTTAAGAATGTAGCACCCGGCGTGTACAGTTCTAATCGTCCCCAAGATGCTACAGGCTTCGACACAGAGCAGACAGCAGACTACGACCACATCACGCTACAATGCTCTCGCTCCCCCAATGAGTTCAGACACTCACGATTCCCCATCGAGCCGCCACGCTCACCGGCATAGAGCTCCGCGACTCCGGCCTCACTCAGCTCTCTGCTCTGCTCCAAGCTCCGTCTGAACGTCTACCACAATGCCAACAACCGACTACTGTAATTAAGACTACTCAATAAATATGAAACTCACTAAACACTGTGTATCTAATCTACTCAACAACGTAACTTAATCGTACGTTACAATGATATGTACTCGCAAACCCAATGTACCTTCTTGTATATAAATAAATAAATAAATAAATAAATAAATAAATAAATAAATAAATAAATAAATAAAAATGTTCCTCTTGGGTGTTGGTGGAGGGGGGGGGGGATGAGACCGGCAACTTCTACTATTATTTATCAATGAGTCCTCACTAGTTAACCATGAGGATAGGTACACTACGCTTGTATCTCAATATTAAATTATATTTATACTTTCCCAAATCAGTAGTGCTATGTAAGTGTATTTGTTTCACAGGGCAGGGATGGTATATATTTATTATATTTAGGAGAGGAGGTGTGTGTGTATTGTGGTGAGGGGCGGGCCCAGCCTCACTAGGAACCACCCTCCCTGGACACTTACCCCGCGTGAGTACTGTGCTCTTGTCTGTGTAACACATCAAGTACGGTACAGGCAGCACATTAGGTACGGTGCAGGCAGCACAACAAGCACGATACAGGGAGTACATTAGGTACGGTACAGGGAGCACATCAAGCACGGTACAGGGAGCATATTAAGTTCGGTACAGGGAACATATTGCAATGACTGTATTTTAAGAATAAGAAACTGTAAGTAACATAGCACTGTGTCGGCACACTAGTCTATATGAGCGGACGCAAAGTTTTAGGTAAAAACTGTAGCTTTGTTCATTAGGTTATTTTATTTTCAACAATAGAGAAATATTCCCGGAATATTCAGCTGTGCGGGTGTCCGAAGACTGCCAGCTGGAGCAGGCTATTGAAGACAGGCATTAGGCAATCCTAACTTATATTTATTTATTTATATACTATATGTACAAGAATGTACATAGCATGGATGTTTTTACTTTCCTGTCAAGCTACTAACACGCACACCATTTTGGGCAGGTCCTTAATCTAACATAATTTTAAGTAGGTAATTTGTAGCACAAATTACTAACTACTGAGAACCACTGAGGGTTAACCAAAAGAATCCATTACTAGACAGGCTATGAGTACTCTTTAGTGGAGTTTTCATATTGTTTTGTGACATTTTTCCTGCTTGCTATGTAGCTGGAGACTAGTTACCAGACACACATCTTTTGTGACTCATGCCTTGCGTTCCATTGACTATTAAGGTGTGATATTAATATTCAAGGTAGTATGAAGTTATATAGCATGTAGTGGTGTTATTTTGAATTGACTTGTGGTTACTTTAAGTGGCCGGAGACTATACATGTGGCTGTTTTTGGCACCGGTCTTGATGTGTATTTTTGTTATCCAACAGTTTAAGGACTGTATATCTTTCTGAAAATTATACATAATGAATTAATCAGATATAACCATTTAAATTTAAAAAGAAAAAAAATCTTATGATTCCTGCAAGAAACAAACTGAATTATAAAAAATCAACTTATTACTGAACACACTACATTTTTGACACAACTCAGCATAAAAACTGTGGTGGTTTAGGGAAATTAAAAGCACTTCAATATTGATGCTTCCTGGGACTAATGAGTCACTGCTCCAGTAGGGCAGGTTGGTGGCCCAGGTCTGGACACTTTTGGTTAGCTAAACTACTGCATTTTTTTCTGGAGGGAAATAGAGAAAATGGGCTAAAAAAAATAACATTATAATATTTATTCTAACAGGCTTCTATTAGGTACCTTGCATATACCAACATATTTTTTTAATCTAATCAAAGAGTTTCTGGCATTTAACCCTGCAGACTTAATAATTTAAGCTTGTACAGTTTAAATTTGAGTATTAAAACAAATAGGGTTTTCTCTAAATATCTGTAGAGTTAGGGTTTACTGCTTATGCTTGCACATGGTAATATTATCAGGCTTTGAATACAGTACTGCATATGACAAGCACCTTTTAGAAGGGTCTTCTCAGCTGCTGCCCTGAACATTACCACTTGATCAGAACAATATACTGTATAATACTAGTAAAGTATTGGGGCATTAGAGAACATTTCAGATACACTAGGTCCTCATAGTCATTTAGGTGCTTGCAAGTCACTGAAGAACATTAATTCATAATAATGTAAAGCCCTTCTAAAACCTTCCTTAGCACCACAAGTAACCACCAAGGGAGAGCTGTCTCTATCTTATGTTTGGTCTGCTGTACAGTATGCCCCCACTGACTGCCTCCAGGTGGCACTACAATATACACCTCCAGCTTCTCCATATATACTTACACCTAAAACATACAGCTTTAAAAAAAATATAAAAAACATACAGCTGCAGAGAAAAAAATTGGACAATAGGGAATAAATGGGAGCAGCCAAATGAATCTCTTTGTAAGGTGCTTTATCATTTAGTGTACTAAAAGCCTGATTTCAGAGTTGTTTAAATTCAGTTGATAGAACAGAAGCACATAATTAGAAAAATTGGAACTATTTGAAACATTGCTTGCGGTAATGGTACAAATATGCCATCCTACCTCTGCACATGTTTCAATCCATGGACATAACTGAAATAACTTAACTGAAATAGCTCAGAAAATAGGTTTTATTTCACTTGACAATGACATATGTAGTTCACATTAATTTTCTACAGGTTGCAAGCTTGCATACATGTCTGAGGTAATAGAGGACGCCATCACACCAGAGGAGAACACAATGCGTCGTTCACCATCAGTTATCTTCTCCGTCACCTTCATCAGGCAGTAAGTTTCTTGCTGAGTGTGGTTACCATTAGTGGAGGTACATCATGTACATTATGTGTATAGTAAGGTCATGGATTTTGTACAGTGCAAATAAAGTGAAGAGGGGGTTTTGCTTTAAAGAAAATGTTTCATTAAGTCAATATTGTATTTTAAGTATACAATGCATGAAGAATATATTATATATATGAGGGAGGGCAAATGTAAATGAAGCGTTTTCATTAGGTTCTCTATTGTACTATAAATTAGAGGAACATTAGATGTGGCATGAGCATGTCAATTTGAGCCAACAGTAAAGTTGGATAATCTGAAAAGCATTTGTGGAGTTAGAATAAAGAACAGTAATTGTCAGAACAAAATTGGAAGAAAATTTCTTCCACTTTTGGAATCTATCCAGATTCTTCAAGAAAAATCTGGGTAATTTTCTGCAAGAAGTGCTGGACCAACCGAGCTGTAGTGAATATTTATTTTTATTTATTTATTTATATATATAAGAGTTCTTACATTCTTGTACAGCCACTAGCATGCATAGCATTTCAGGCAGGTCTTTAATCTTAATTTTCTCCTGAGTACGACCTGCCAAATTGCTTAACAGCCAGGTGCCCATTCACTGCTAGGTGAACAGAGGCTACAGTTAAGGATTAGCACCTAGTAAATCCTCCCCAGCCAGGATACAACCCTAGGCCAATGAGCTCATGAAACGCCAAGCTAGTGTGCTACCACTTCGCCACGAGACTGCTACAATATGAAGGTCTGTGCGCTGCTCCAAGCAACAGCCTATTAAACCAAGCTCTCACAAGTTAAGCCTGGCTCCGGGCCGGGCTTGGGGAGTAGAACAGCTCCCAGAACCCCATCCAGATCCAGATATGTTATTGAAGTTACAGTATAGCACTCAAAAGTCTGATTCTGAAGATATAAAGGGATGACTGCTGAGATGTTGCAAAGCATTGACGTTTTTGTAGAAAAAAGAAATTAAATTTCTGAAATACAGTGGTACCTCGGTTTAAGAGCTTAATCCTTTCCTGGAGACAGCTCATATTCCGAAAACTCGTATTCCGAAGCTAATTTCCTCATAAGAAATAATGGGAATGAATTAATCTGTTCCTGACTGCCCCAAAAACCCCACTTTAATCTAAATTTTATACCTAATGCATCTAAATAAACCTACAAAACTATGTTCAAGTTATTACTTAACCTTGTTGAATGCTGTAGGCGTATGGAAGATGGTGAGGAGGGGAGAGGAGGAGAGGTGTTATTGTTTGGAAGGGGAGTCCCCTTTCATTATCACATCAGGCAGTGAGGACCTTTCTGGTGTGCACTTCCTGGCAGGTTTTGCCTGAGTACCACTAGGTCCTGGTTGTGGCTCACTGCTCGATTTTCTCACAACAAATCTGTCCATGGAAGCTTGTTTTTTTCCTTCTTCGCAAGCTGTCTCTGTAGTAAGGCATCACATTGTCATTGAAAAGATTAAGGCAACGGCCTACTACAGCTTTCTCTGGGTGAGTCTTTTCAATAAAAGTTTGCATCTCTTCCCACATCTGACACACCTTCTTAATTTGTGCAGAAGGGACATTCGCTACTGCCTCATCCTCCTCCGCTGGAGAAACATCATCAGCTGCATCGTCTTGCTGTTCCTTTTGGAGTTCTTCAGTCGTCAGTTCTTCGTTGTGTTCTTCCACGAACTCCTCCACATCATCACCATCCAATTCCAAGCCCATTTGCCGGCCCAGAGTAACAATTTCCTTAACAATAGGCGCATCATTTACAGGTTCAAACCCCTCAAAATCTAGTTCTGTCACACATTCAGGCGACAATTTTCTCCAGCCAGAGATCATGGTTCTTTGAGTCACTTTTTGCCAGGCTTTGTCAATGAGTTTTAAAGCACTACAAATGTTAAAATGGTGTTTCCAGAACTCTTTGAGGGTGAGGTTTGTGGCTTCAGTCACTTCAAAACATTTCCGGAAAAGTTCCCTTTCATACAGTTTCTTAAAATTCGCTATGATTTTCTGGTCCATAGGCTGAATTAGAGGAGTGGTGTTAGGTGGAAGGAACTTTATTGTGAGAAATTTACTGTATCTGTGCATCAATTCATATTCCAATCCTGGAGGATGACCAGGAGCATTGTCGAGGAGAAGCAGGGCCTTGAGTGTCAAATATTTCTCCTGCAGATATTTTTCTATGGCAGGGCACAGCACTTCATTCACCCACTCCGAAAAAATAATCTTAGTCACCCATGCCTTTTTATTAGACTTTCCATATCACACACATTTGGGTTTTCTGCACTTTATACTGTTTGAAAACCCTTGGATTTTCAGAATCATACACTAGCAAGGGTTTAATTTTCAAATCGCCACTCGCATTTGAACACAGCACAAGCGTAAACCTATCTTTCATAGGCTTGTGTCCGGGCAAAGATTTTTCCTCCTTAGAAATGTATGTCCTCTTAGGCAATCTTTTCCAAAACAGTCCTGTTTCGTCACAGTTAAACACTTGTTGCGGTAGGTATCCCTCAGCCTCTGCAAACTCTTTAAATTCCTCAATAAATCGATCAGTGGCTGGTTTGTCTGAGCTGGCTGCCTCCCCATGCCTCGCAACACTATGGATACCACTTCTTTTTCTAAATATTTCAAATCATCCCCTGCTTGCCTTAAACTCTTTCGTATCTGCATCACTCGTTGCAGGGGTTTTCTTTAGAAGGTCTTCGTGCAATACCCTGGCTTTCTCACAAATGATGGCCTCCGAAACACTATCACCCTTTAATTCCTTGTCGTGTATCCAAATTAATAAAAACTTTTCCACTTCTTCAAGTATTTGTGGTCTTCGTTTAGTCATTGTTCTTATGCCTTTTGCCACTTTAGCACCCATAATCCTATTTTTCTTCTTAAGTATAGTGCATATTGTTGACGTTGCTTTGTTGTACTGCCTACAAAGTTCAATAACACGTGTACCATTTTCATGCTTCCGAATGATCTCTTGTTTCTCCAATATTGTCATCCTCACATGGGCTTTCTTGCCTTGATCCTTACCACTGGCTTTCTTGGGACCCATGGTGAGATATATAATAACAACTTTTATGGTCAAATGACCAAAAATCCAGCAAAACACTGAAAATCCAGGTGAAGAATTGACATGGGATAGTCACTGAGCACGAGGCACTGGTTAACTGAAGGGCGGAGGGGCGACGATCGCCGGACCACCATGCGCTAGGTCGGCCTGTACACGTATCAACAAACTCGTGTTCCGAGGTAACCCTCGCCTTCCGAGGCACATTTTCCGAGGAAATCCTACTCGTATTCCAAAAAACTCGTATACAGGGACACTCGTATTCCGAGGTACCACTGTACAACAAATGTCAAAAAGGTTCATTCGGTGTTCGGCAGGTAGGCTGCTCCGTTATTAGGCAGGCAGACATGGGCCTTGCGGATCTGAGGTTCTTCTGGACTTGTTTTGTGTGTGCCCTAGATTCTTTGCCCTCTTCGGAAGACTGTTATCTCCGGTCCGACTTCTGTTGGGGCTGGGTGCCTGGATGGTGTCCCTGGACCTCCGGGTTCCTTCTTGGCATGTTTCTCTCCAGGGTTCCGGGACTGCCAAAGGTGGTGGTGGGGCTTTAGGCTTGCTGCTTTTGTTGTCTTTCCTAGTTTGTAATTGGCACTTAGTGTATTTATGCATCTTTCCCAGATCTTGGTGACATGTCTGCGTCTGTTCGGGATTCGGTTTCTAGCCTACCTCGATGACTGACTAGTGTGTGGGCTCCCAGTCGGTCCGCTTGTCTGCTCACCAGGGGTGTGGTTCTTTCCAGATCGCCGGGTTCGGGTTCCTGGTGATCTGGAGGCTGTTCCATCTGTTCCGTCCCGAGGGTCGGACATAGCTGGGTCTTTGTTTAGGACTCATGGACTACTTCCGTGTCTTTCCCTCTAGAAGCGTTGCTGTGGCTGTGGTCCCGCATTCAGCTGTTTATGAGGGGGGTCCCGGGTCACTTGGCAGTTGCTCGAGCAGTTGTACGGGAGTCTGAACTTCGCCGTGCTGGTCTGCCCGCCGGGTTGGGTTTGGCTTCGGCGTTTGTTTGGTTCCCTCGGGGACTCCCCTTCCGCCTCTCTAGTGAAAGTTGGGTTCTTCCTCTGGGGATCTTGTGTTGGTGCTGCATCGCCGGCTTCCTCTTTGGGGTTTTCGGGGTTCTGTGCCTTGGCGCCTCACTGAGCCTTCGCTCGACGTGTTCACGGACGGGTCATCTTACGGCCGGGGCTTTGTGACCAGTGCTCACCAGGCCGCCTGGGGATGGTGGGGGTCTGTCCGTCTGTCGAGCTCACAGCATGGTTCGGGAGTTTGTGATTATCTGGTTTGCGCTTCGGAGGGTTCGGGTCACTCGGGGCTCTACCATCCGGCTCCATTCGGACTGTTCTCCGGTGGTTCATTACCTGACCCACGGGGGTTCTCTTAGGTCCTTGACCTTTGGGGTTGGTCCCTTCGAGTGGCTCGTCTGCTGGATTCTCGGGGGTTTGGCTATCCGTGCGTTTCATGTCCGGGGTGTGTCCTACATCCTGGTGGATGACCTGTCTCTGTTCATTCCTCTGTTCACGGATTGTCTGGTCGTTGCCGACTCATTTCATTGGCTCTGCAGGACATATGGACTCCTGGACATGGCTATCTTCGCGTCGGCGTGGTCTTTTCGTCTCCCATTCTATGTGGCACCCTTACCCACCTGCGAGGCGTTCACAGTGGATGCATATTGGCAGGACTGGTCGAGATGGAGTTACCTGTTCCTCTTCTCCCAGTCCAGCTGTTGCTTCGGGTTCTGGCTCGGTTGGAGTCCTTCCCAAGGAGAGTAGTCCTCGTGGCCCCTTGGTGACCGGCCCAGGTTTGTTCTCAGACGCTGCTTGATAGGTGTCCGAACCCGGGGCGTTTCCTGCAGCTCCACCTCCTTCGGCAGGTTGGACTGGTCCTGTACGTGGCAGGTTCTGCCTTCTCCTCGGCTCTTAGCATCTAGCCTTTTGACGCGGGTGTATCACCATCTCTATGGTGATCAATCAGGCTTCGTTGATGGTGTCCCACCTGCGAGCTTCGTCTCGGCGACAGTATGACGTTTCCTGGCATTTCTATTCACCATTTTCTTTCTCTCTGTAGGTTGTCTTCTCTTTCACATTGGGTTGTCTTGTCCTTCTTGGTTTTTCAAGACAGTTAATTGATGCTTCTTACTGTCGCCACGTATCATGCGGTACTGGCGGAGCCGCTCCGGCTTGTGTTCGGGATGGCTCATGCACCGCCTGAGCCGTCCTAGTCCTTGATCAGGATGCTCTCTTGTCTTTCCTCTCTTCAGTTTGTGGTAGTCCCTTCAGTTCAAGATTGTTTTTCAAAGGCCATGTTTTGTTGGCATTGGCCTCTGCGGGTTGGGTCGAGGAGTTCCGGCTCTCCTCTGGCACAGAGGTTTCTGCTCTTTTGGTACTGGTGATAGGTTTGTACGTTTGCAGCCTTTCTCTATCCTTCTGGCGACGGCCGAGTTGGCTGCTTTCTGGAGGGGTCCTTGGGTTATTGATGCTTGGTTGGTTCGGCTGGTGGTGTGTCGTGTGTTGTGTCCGGTTGTGGCTCTTCACTGTTACCTGCGTGCTGTGGCTGGGAATGCGCTTTGGGTTGATCCGGTTCCCCTCATTCCCTGTTTCAGGGAACGTCCGCAGGGTTCTTAAGTCTACCAGCCTGCGGTCTATCTTTGCGCCTGTGCCGTTCGGACGTTTGCAGTTTTCGCTGCCGTGTTTGGTGACGTCTTGGGTTCATTTTGGGCGTGGGGATTTGGGGTCGCACGGGTTCCTGGCCGCCTGTTATTTTGTGAGCGTGTCAGCTCCTGTGCGTTCTTGTGTGTTTTGGGTTGCAGGTTGCTGCCTGTTGTCTCGACTTCGCATTGTGGAGTTTGTGGCGGCCGCCTCCCGGGTCAGCCCTTTCTTTTACTTCTCTTTGGGTATGTAGCTCCAGGGAGTCATAGGGGCTACCCACAGAAAACCAGCGTTGAATGTAATGAAACCATTTACTAGGTGAGCCTCGGAGGCTCCCTGGCAACCCTCCCTCCCACCGGTCGGCGGTTTTTCGCGTTGGTTAAAGCTTAGCTACTGAACTGGTGCTAGGCAGCCGGCATGGTGAGGTCCGGGTCCCTCCCTCCCCCTCTTGGGGAGGGGAGGGCTGCGCGGATGAGCAGCACAGCAGTAAAGTGTGATGTTTGCTTGTTTCCTTAGGATTGCCAGGAGTTCTACCTCTCTGTTCGTTTTTTTGTTTTAGTTTCTTACCATGTGGGGTTTGTTTTGTTATGCCTACCTCAATGGGTGCATATCCCCGGTTGATGGCAGATAAGGAAAACCCCCAACCACAAGGGGGTTTTCCAGGGCTATTGCTCCCTGAAACCTCGCTGAAGGGGCCAGGTTCTGGCGCTGGTCCTTGGTAGGTCTGAACTCCATAGCTAATGTCCCGGTCTAATATAACATACATTAGCTCGATAAGCTCCAGAGAGCCTCCGGGGCTCACCCAGAAAATGGCGTTTCATTACATTCAGTGCTGGGTTTCCACATTTCTTGGTGAATACTAACCAACTGAATGAAAGAGGGAATTAGGAAGTAATGATGAAGAGAGATGTTACTTGGTTTTCATGTTTCATAGGGAATAAAATACAGATAAATGATAGTGTTAAAACAACATTTTGAATAGCATAATTAAAGTAATTTTATAGTATTTTACTGTAAGATTACTAAGGCAAAGTATTGCTCTGCAACTACACTCATTTTAACTTTCAGGTTTAGACAAGACTGGACCATTGTCTTGACAATTGAAATCATCTTCAGTAAATGTCCCTTTAAGTGTTATTATTCCAATTGCTTATTACTTTTGAGGGTCTTATCTACTTTATATTGCTATACTGTATTATGATTATTGTATAAATTTCTGTATTATTGGTTTGAAATATACTGTACAGTCATTTGTTTACTTTTTCCCCTCAAGTGGGGAGACAGAAGCCAACAGAGAGCGCAAGATTCAAGGTCATCTAGATATTCCTCTGAGCTCATTAGGAAAGGTGCAAGCATCGCAGGTAACTTAATTATCCCCAAGCTGATAGAATTTGGTATTGAATAGTTAGTTGTGTAATGAATAGTTTTGATGGACTGTAGTTTAATTTTCCACAATTCATGTTTTCTTTTATTTATTTTTCATGAGTAACAAAGCCACTGAACAGTTTTTCAGCACATGATGTTAATGCATTTGCTCGAATTACATTCAGTAAGTCAGAACATTTATCTGGGACAATGAATATTGTTGTTTGTCATGCTATACAGTACAGTCTTGCAGGTTTGGCACCTTCTTTTGATAATTACTGTACTTTGTAGCTTGTCCAATGTCTTCCTCTCATTACAGGCTGGAGAAAGCTTGTGCAAGACAGCATTCACACGAGCTTACACAAGTGATTTGTGTAGAGCATATTCCACATGTGAACATATACTAAAAGAAAATTCCTGTATATTACCCTCCATTAAGGTTGATGAAAGGTTACGAGAAAGGGTAAGGACCTCATTATGCAGTACAAGTACTGTGTCTCTAAATTCATGAAATAGTCCTCTCTTCTAGAAATATAATATCTCTTGTTTGTTCCATTCTCTTTGTGATTGTAGAGCAGAAATTAAAAACCCCTTCCCCATTTTATATGATATTCCACATGTGTAAATAGTTTCCTTTTTGTTCTCAATGCTTACTATGTTATTATTTTAACACTTTCGCGTTCCCAGTGTGTGCGCCCCAGCCTACCCCCAAGGTGGGACGAGCGTTTCACGTGAGCGGGCGGCCACACTAAAATGTGTGTACTCTTTTCAGTTTTCTCACTTCAATTTTTGTTATACGTCGTTCATTTTGGTATCAAATTGTTCCCAATAGAATAACCTACAGGGGTATATGCATATAAGGTCCAAAAGCCTGACGTGTTACCCGCACCAAACCCAAAAATCAGCTGAGCGTTACCCGTGAGCGCACAAAAGCACTAAAATGTGTATACTCTTTTCAGTTTTCTCACCTCAATTCTCGTGCGACGTCATTCATTTTGGTATCAATTTGTTTGCAATAAAATTCCCTACAGGGGTATATGCATATAAGGTCAGAAAACCCGGCGTGCCACCTGCAGCAAGCCCGAGAATCAGCTGAGCATTACCTGTGAGCGTGCAACAGCACTAAAATGTGAATGCTCTTTTCAGTTTTCTCATGTCAATTTTCATGTTACATCGCTCATTTTGGTATAAAATTGTATGCAGTAAAATTCTCTAAAGGAATATATGCATATAGGGTCAAAAAGTCCTGTGTGCCACCCGCAGCAAATCCGAAAATCGGATAAGTGTTACCCGTATGCGAGCACCCAGCCGAACACCATCATTAAAATGTGTATACTCTTCAGTTTTCTCGCCTTAATTTTCATGCAACATCATTCATTCTGGTATCAAATTGTTCACAATAGACTTCTCTAAAGGGATATTTGCATATAAAGTAAAAAAGCCCGGCATGCAACCTGCAGCAAACGCGAAAATCGCCCAAGCTTTTCCTGTGAGTGAGCACATATCTGCACACCAACAACTGCACTAAAATGTTTATACTGTTTTCAGTTTTCTCACATCAATTTCCATGTTACATAGTTCATTTTGGTATCAAATTGTTTGCAATAGAATTCTCTAAAGGGATATATGCATATAAGGTCAAAACTCCAGGTATGCCACCCGCAGCAAACCTGAAAATTGGAAGAGCCGCGCCCGTAATTTGGACTTTATATGCATATATCCGTGTAGGGAATTTTATTGCGATCACAGTGATACCAAAATGAACGATGTAGGACAGGTGTGGAGTTCACAAACCTGAAAAGAGAGGAAACATTTCATCGCTGTTTGGCGCTCACGGCTACCGAATGACATAGTTTTTTATTTGGTGCCGGTCTCATGCCTGCTTTGGTGACTTTTTATACATATGTTCTTCTAGAACATTCTATTGCAAACACATTGATACAGGGGTACCTCGGTTTAAGAGTTTAATCCGTTCCTGGAGACAGCTCGTATTCCGAAAACTTGTATTCCGAAGCTAATTTCCCCATAAGAAATAATGGGAAATGAATTAATCCGTTCCTGACTACTCCAAAAACCCCACATCAAACTAAATTTTTATACCTAATTCATCTAAATAAACCTACAAAACTATATTCAAGTTATTACTTACCTTGCTGTTGAATGCTGTAGGCGTATAGAAGATGGTGAGGAGGGGGGAGGAGGAGAGGAGTTACTGTTTGGAAGGGAAGTCCCCTTCCATTATCACATCAGGCAGTGAGGACCTTTCTGGTGTGCACTCCCTGGCACGTTTTATCTGAGTGCCACTAGGTCCTGGTTGTGGCTCACTGCTCGATTTTCTCACCACAAATCTGTCCATGGAAGCTTGCTTTTCCCTTCTTCGCAAGCTGTCTCTGTAGTAAGGCATCACATTGTCATTGAAAAGATTAAGGCAATGGCCTACTACAGCTTTCTCTGGGTGAATCTTTTCAATAATTGTTTGAATCTCTTCCCACATCTGACACACCTTCCTAATTTCTGCAGAAGGGATATTCGCTACTGCCTCATCCTCCTTCACTGTAGAATCATCAGCTGCGTTGTCTAGCTGTTCCTGTTGAAGGGCTTGGAGTTCTTCGGTGGTCAGTTCTTCGTTGTGTTCTTCCACCAACTCCTCCACATCATCATCATCCAATTCCAAGCCTATTTGCCAGCCCAGAGTAACAATTTCATCAACAATAGGCGCATTATTTACAGGCTCAAACCCCTCAAAGTCTAGTTCTGTCACACATTCTGGCGACAATTTTCTCCAGCCAGAGATCAGGGTTCTTTGAGTCACTTCTTGCCAAGCTTTGTCAATGAGTTTTAAAGCACTACAAATGTTAAAATCGTGTTTCCAAAACTCTTTGAGGGTGAGGTTTGTGGCTTCAGTCATTTCAAAACATTTCCGGAAAAGTTCCCTTTCATAAAGTTTCTTAAAATTCGCTATGATTTTCTGGTCCATAGGCTGAATTGGAGGAGTGGTGTTAGGAGGAAGGAATTTAATTGTGAGGAATTTATTGTATCTGGGCAACAAATCATCTTCCAAGCCTGGAGGATGAGCAGGAGCATTATCGAGGAGAAGCACGGCTTTGAGTGTCAAATGTTTCTCCTGCAGATATTTTTCTATGGCAGGGCACACCACTTCATTCACCCACTCCGAAAAAGAAGCCTAGTCACCCATGCTTTTTTATTAGCCTTCCACATCACACACAAATGGGTTTTCTGCACTTTATACTGTTTGAAAACCCTTGGATTTTCAGAATGATACACTAGCAAGGGTTTAATTTTCAAATCACCACTCGCATTTGAACACAGCACAAGCGTAAACCTATCTTTCATAGGCTTGTGTCCGGGCAAGGATTTTTCCTCCTTGGTAATGTATGTCCTCTTAGGCAATCTTTTCCAAAACAGTCCTGTTTCGTCACAATTAAACACTTGTTGCGGTAGGTATCCCTCAGGCTCTGCAAATTCTAAATTCCTCAATAAATCGTCCAGCGGCTGGTTTGTCTGAGCTGGCTGCCTCCCCATGCCTCGCAACACTATGGATACCACTTCTCTTTCTAAATATTTCAAATCATCCCCTGCTTGCCTTAAACTCTTTCGTATCTGCATCACTCGTTGCAGAGGTTTTCTTTAGAAGGTCTTCGTGCAATACCCTGGCTTTCTCACAAATGATGGCCTCCGAAACACTATCACCCTTTAATTCCTTGTCGTGTATCCAAATTAATAAAAACTTTTCCACTTCAAATATTTGTGGTCTTTGTTTCATCATTGTTCTTACTCCTTTTGCCACTTTAGCGCTCATAATCTCATTTTTCTTCTTAAGTATAGTGCATATTGTTGATGTGGCTTTGTTATGCTGCCTACAAAGTTCAACAACACGTGTACCGTTCTCATGCTTCCGAATGATCTCTTGTTTCTCCTCTATTGTCATCCTCACATGGGCTTTCTTGCCTTGATCCTTACCACTGGCTTTCTTGGGACCCATGGTGAGATATATAATAACAAATTGTATAGTCAAATGACCAAAAATCCAACAAAACACTGAAAATCCAGGTGAAGAATTGATGTGGGATAGTCACTGGGCGCGAGACAATGGTAAACTGAGGGGCGGAGGGGCGACGATTGCTGTACCACCACGCGCTAGGTCGGCCTGAACGCGTATCAACAAACTCGCGTTCCGAGGTAACCCTCGCCTTCCGAGACACATTTTCTGAGGAAATCCTGCCCGTATTCCGAAAAACTCGTATACAGGGACACTCGTATTCCGAGGTACCATTGTACTAAAATGAAACACGTACATCAAAATTTAAGGTCACAACCGTGAAAAGAGTTTACACTTTTCAGTGTCGCCGCTTGATCGCCCAAAACGCCAGGAGCACAAGGGCAATGTTTTACGCTTGACCGCTGGGAGCGCTAATCACCTTAACACTTTCGCGCTATCTGGACGCGCCGGCGCGTTCGGTTTCGTCTAACGCTAAACGCATAGTGGACATAAAGTTATGTCAACTTTTAAAATATTTGTATAAAATTCAATTTTTATCCGATTTACTTTGGGTTTGTTTCAAACTGCGCGCCATGAGGCTCTCTTTCTCACCACTAGGCTTCATGGTACAATAAGTTCATGAAAGGTGTGGATAACTTCGATCAAATGGTATTTTGTCCCAAACGGGTTGCAGGTGGGTGACTTTAGCCGTTTATACTGGTAATTCTTCCCCTATATCATGTATTATATGCATATGTCTGTTTAGGGAATTTTATTCCGATCAATATACAACCAAAAATAACTGTGTGCAACAAGTATAAACTTGACAAACATAACAAAAGTAAAAATATTTCGTGTGTGTTTGACGCTCACTGATATGTTCCAGCGTTGTTTTATATTTGTCGTTATTCTAACTTACGCTTTGTTGATATTTTTTACCTATGGGCACATAGAACATTCTATTGCGAACACATTGACATAAAAATGAATGACGTACATAAAAAATTAATGTCATGAGAGTGAAATAAGTATAAACTTTCAAAGCGCCGTGCGTCGTCCCGTCACCGATACCGGAAAACAATTTCACCACTTCCCACACTCTTGCGGGCGGGCTGCATCATTATTCTACGCTTATATTCATATCACCGTGTTGGGAATTTCATTGCGAGTCTATTGATACCAAAATTAACGCTGTAGAACAAGTGTGGAGGTGATTACAATCCCAAGAGTAAAAACATTTTGTTGCTGATGGGCGCTCACGGCGAGTCATCTACGTAGTTATTTATTTGGTGCTGGTATCCCTATATGTTTCGTGACTTATTTTACTGATGTTCTTCTAGAGAATTTTATTGCGAACACGTTGGTACCAAAATGAAATACGTAGCATGAGAACTAAGGTCAGAAGAGTAAAAAGAGTATACACATTTTTGTTTTTACGCTTAAGCGATAAAAACGCAGCGCGCACATTCGGTTGGCTGAGTGACCTTTGCGGAGAGCGCGAAAGTGTTAAAGGTATAGCATACAATTCAAAAGTGGTGCGTGGTGATGAGGGTATGAAATGGATGCCTGTGGCCTCCAGTGATCGGCCGCCATTTTGAAAAATAATACCAGCATGCCCCAGGGCCCGGGGGAGCCCCTGTTTCAAGGAAGCAACCATGTCTGACGCATCGTCTATGAGCGTGTCTATGACCGTGAACCTCCCGGTTCACGGTTAGCCACGGTCCTGCAAAACGACTCTCAGAGGAGGAAATACGGGACATATTGTATGATGGTAGACCGACTGATGACAATTTAGACAACAGTTCTGAAAAAGATCTCGCATGGATCGGACTCGAGTAATGGGGACACCGAGGTGGAAGATGCCGCAAGTGTGTACTGTACACGCATCTCGCCCGGCCTCTCAAGCCACCCTGGGTCAACACCGCTAGTTACCATCACCATGTGTGTCACCTAATGTTAGTTTATTTGGTGATACTACATGTGATGAATCATTTCCTGGCTTTAGTGACATAGGCTTCGATACAAGCAGTGTTGATAACTTGAGTACAGGCGACTATGGTGTTATTAGGCGAGGTTTAGCTTTGGCAACATGCCAAGACAAGTGCCAGCATGTCACATGGCCTGAGGACAAAGATGACAGTGCGTCCTCGACATCAGGTGTTCGTGGAAGGCCTATGCTATGCAGTAGACTCATCTCCTCACAGCTCTAGCACAAGACGACGGAGCCGTGATGTTGGCGCCTGTGCTGGTGTTGGCCGTGGTGTTGGTGCCAAAACCAAAACCACTGGTGTACTTGTGTGGCAGAATTGTGAGAATTTTGTACCACATATTCCAACATTTGATGATACCGATGTTGGTGCGACACCCTTATTCCCCTATACTGTACTGGTGATGATATGGCTGAAATAGATTATTATATGGCATATTTTGATATGGAATTCAAGGCCCATCTCGTTGCAGAGACGAATGTGTACACTCACAGCCTCATTGACTGGCATTTTACCTTCTTCTCACATGACATGTTGGAAAGACACAACTAATAAGGAAATGTTTGTGTTTTTAACTTTGTGCATGATGATGAGGCATGCAGATAAACATGCAACCCAGGATTATTTGAGCAAAGACAGCCTTGTTCCAACCCCATTTTTCAACAGGTATATGTTACGTGATAGGTTCCAGCTGCTTTTCAGGTGCCTGCACTTTGAAAACAATGATAATGAAGACAGAACTGACAGACTGTGGAAGGTGCGGAAGGTATTTAGTGATATGAGAGGAAAGTTCCGTGACTATTTTGTATCATGACAGAATGTCGTGATTGATGAGTTGCTAGTCCTCTTCAAGGGACAACTGGCATCCAAGCAGTACATTCCAACAAAGCAGCACAGGTTTGGACTCAAGTTTTTCGTGCTATGCGACTGTGAAACTGGTATTGTCATGGACATGATACTGTATTCAGGTACTGACGTTGACATACCAGGTCAGGAGCCACACGGGTTCTCAGGGAGTGTCGTGAAAACATTCGTGGAACCATTGCTGAACAAGGGGCATATCCTGTATACTGACAACTACTACACCAGCCCCTTGTTGACCAGATTCCTCCTTGACCACAACACCGGCGTATGTGGCACTGTTAAGCCCCACAGGAGGGAATTGCCAGAGTTTGGTATTGCTACTGAAGTGGGTGAATGCCAGCTGCGAAAGTGTGATAGAATGTTATCAGTGCGCTGGAGGGACAGATGCGAGGTGAATATGTTGACAATTATTCACACAGGTGCCATGTTGGACAGTGGCAAAGTGAACTTTGTAACAAGGTTGCCAGTGTACAAACCTGATTGTGTCATTGACTACAATGTCAATTTGCGGCTAGTTGATAAATGTGACATGATGGTTGGTGGCGTCGAGTGCGTGCGGAAATCTGTGAAGTGGATGAAGAAATTCTTTTTCCACCTTGTTGATGTTGCAGTGCTGAACTCTTCAATGTGTATCTCATGAAATCTGGCAAGAGACCCCCAATACGTACATTCAGTGCTGCTCTAGTGTCACAAATTTTTGTGAAGTATAGGGTGGAGGGCTGTATTGCAACATGTGGGGTGTCAGCAACAATGCCTCTCACAGTTCCTGACAGACTCAAGAATAAAGAACACTTTGCTGTACACAAGCTTGGTTATATGCCAAGCACAGGCACACAGGACAAGGGTAAACGTGCCTGTATTGTTTGCAAGAACACGCAACGTTGGGAGTGCAAGCAAAGATCCATCTGTACCTAGTGTATTGAGTGCAAAGTTGCCCTATGCCCCGTTGACTGCTTCAGTGATTATCACACACTCGCGCAGTTCTAAGTGTGTTGATAGCGATGTATATAGTGTGTGATAGTGTCCAGTGTGTAAATAAGCTATAAATGTACATATTTGAACATGATATATAGAAAATATAACAAATGTTTGTTGACACATTTGTGATGCATGTAACACAGTGTCTTGAAACAGTACGGATGTTCTACAGTCTGAATAGCTTAAACGTGTTCATTATACATAGGATTAGACAGAAAAAAATATAAATGCATTTGTAATTGTGCAGAAAAAATGAAAAAAAAAATATTTGTGGCAACTCACACTTGTTGAATCTGGCGCGTGACTGCCTCCGGGAGTCTACGGCACGGGCGACCACCAACCTGTGATGTCTCACGACATATTCCAGACATCACTGCGGCCAAAGTAAGTACATCTGTGAAATTTTTTCAATATATATGTGATCAGGGAAGGGTATTTAACACTTTTGGAAGGTAGCCTCGTAGCCTGGTGGATAGCGCGCAGGACTCGTAATTCTGTGGCGCGGGTTCGATTCCTGCACGAGGCAGAAACAAATGGGCAAAGTTTCTTTCACCCTGAATGCCCCTGTTACCTAGCAGTAAATAGGTACCTGGGAGTTAGTCAGCTGTTACGGGCTGCTTCCTGGGGGTGGAGGCCTGGTCGAGGACCGGGCCGCGGGGACACTAAAGCCCCGAAATCATCTCAAGATAACCTCAAGATAAGGGCAAAATTTTTTTTGCAAAGAATTTATTTTTGGTGCACCCAGGGTTTGTAATATTTTAAGGCCGAGCAGTGCAGTGGTTAAGGAATATGTGCATGAAAACTTACTCCTCTGATGTTTTGATCCATATATCAGGTGTGTAGTGAATTTTGTTTGTATCACTTGATATGAATTATTGGAAGAAATGTATATAACCATAAATCCATCATTATATATCTGACTGCCATAATGGTAGGGTTGGTTCAGTACAGAACTCCCATGTATGAGAGACCTGCTTGATCAATTGTGCAATGCAGTCTTGCCATCCTGGTCTGGTTCCTGGAGGGATTGTTATCTTGGTCTCAGTCAAGTGTTACTCTCTAAGCTATGCTGTTCACTTCCCTTGCAGAATTTTGGGAGTGTAGAAGGTATGAACATAGATGAAGTTAAGGCCAAGGCAGCATCAGAAGGCCTCATGTGGACAGAATACAATCCTCCAGGAGCAGAGTCATTAGGTGATCTTCAGGCTAGAATGGTAGCCTTCTTTAAGGTACAGTAATTCTTCTTTTGTCATGGTTGATTACTAGTAATACAGTCTTTTGTTATTTAGCAAAAGATGCTGGTTAGTAATTTTTTGGTGGGGAGGCCCTACGGCTCCCTGGAGCTATCGGGCTAATATGTGATGCATTAGACCGGGCATTAGTCTATGGAGTTCAGCCTCCCAGGGACCACGAGCCAGAACCTGGCCCCCTCAGAGAGGTGCAGGGAGCAATAGCCCTGGAAAATTTCCCTGTGGTTGGGGTTTTCCTTATCTGCCATCGACCGGGGTTAGGCAAAGGTTAGGCTTAGAAAGGTAGGCATAACAAAACAAATCCCACATGGTAAGAAAATTAAAACTAAAAACCAAAATAAGAGGCAGAACTCCCTCCAGTCCAAAGGAAACGAGCAAACGTCACATTCCACCGCTGCATCGTTCGTCCGCACAGCCCTCTTCGCGCCGGAGGTACAGGCATACCTCAGAATAAGAGTTTAATCCGTTCCTGGAGACGCCTCGCCTTCCGAAAACTCGCATTCCGAAGTTAATTTCCCCATAAGAAATAAAGGGAAATGAATTAATCCGTTCCTGACTACCCCAAAAACCCCACATCAAACTAAATTTTTATACCTAATTTACCTAATTCATCTAAATAAACCTACAAAACTGTGTTCCAGTTATTACTTACCTTGCTGTCGAGTGCTGTAGGCGTATGGAAGATGGTGAGGAGGGGGGAGGAGGAGAGGAGTTACTGTTTGGAAGGGGAGTCCCCTTCCATAATCACATCACATAACCCCATGCCTTGTAACACTATGGATACCACTTCTCTTTCTAAATTTTTCAAACCAGCCCCTGCTTGCCTTAAACTCTTTCTTATCTGCATCACTCGTTGCAGGGGTATTCTTTAGAAGGTCTTCGTGCAACACCCTGGCTTTCTCACAAATAATGGCCTCCGAAACACTATCACCCCTCAACTCCTTGTCGTGTATCCAAATTAATAACAACTTTTCCACTTCTTCAAGTATTTGTGGTCTTTGTGCCGTTAATGTTCTTACTCCTTTTGCCACTTTAGCACCCATAATCTTATTTTTCTTCTTAAGTATAGTGCATATTGTTGATGTGGCTTTGTTGTACTGCCTACAAAGTTCAACAACACGTGTACCGTTCTCATGCTTCCGAATGATCTCTTGTTTCTCCTCTATTGTCATCCTCACATGAGCTTTCTGGCCTTTATCCTTACCACTGGCTTTCTTGGGACCCATGGTGAGATATATAATAACAAATTGTATAGACAAATCACCAAAAATCCAACAAAACACTGAAAATCCGCAAGAAGAATTGATGTGGGGGTAGTCACTGAGCGCGAGACAATAATAAACTGAGGGGCGGCGGGGCGGAGGGGCGACGAACGCGCTAGGTCGGCTGTACGCGTATCAACAAACTCGCGTCCAAACTCGCCTCCCGAAGTAACCATCGCCTTCCGAGACAAATTTTTGGAGTAAATACACCTCGCCTTCCGAAAACCTCGCATACAGGGACAATCGCATTCCGAGGTACCACTGTATTATGATGTACTTCTGTGGGGGTTTTCTGTAGATTTTTTTTTGCCTGCTGAGAGTCTGCCCGGTGTTACTATGGTTCCACTTCTAATATTTTGGTGGCCCTCTACTCGGCCCCCAGTGATTGTACACATCGCAGGGGTTTCGGTGTTTTGATCTTTCCCTTTATTAGCTTTGAGTCTTGACCGGTTAGCAGCACCTTGCCCTGGCTTCCCGTAGCAGTCAGCCTACGAGCCCTGGAAAACCCTGTTGGGGCTCTGTGGACCTATGGATGTGTCTTCCGAGTTCCAGCCTACCTCGTGCGGTTTGAAGGTTGCTGTGTGCCCTTGTCTCAGGGTGACAGTCATCTCTTTTGCCTCCGTCATGCTGCCTATTGGGTCGACGACACTTTTGACCCGTGAGTCGTGTTCTTTTGTCTTGTGAGTCGTGTTCTCTGCTTGTTCTCCAGTACTATTTTGATGACATTTCTGTTAGGGTACGGGCAGCATCTGCATTGCATGCTAGGTTTAGATTGCTGCAATGCTCTAGGTTGGTTTCCCTCCCGGATACCCTGCGGCTGCCCCGCTTTGGTTATAGGGCCCCCGGACCTGGGGGCGTTAGTCGCTTTGACGTTGTTTCATCCCGCACTTCCTGGTCCTTCTCATGTTGTTCACAACCTTCCCCCTTCCTCTGCTTCCGGCTCCCAAACATCTAAGGGTTTCGGAGACCCGAAACAAACTTTTTGTTTCTAACAAACGTGACCCAACATAAGCTTACCCTTCCATTTATCTTTCTTTCTCTTTCCTTTTCTTTCTCTCTTTTCTCTTTTTTCTGTTCATTGTTTTCTCTTACGTTCCCTTGCTATCCTCTTCTTATTCCTATTACAATCTCCTTCTCATTTGGTGGTTATAATAGGAGCTACCTCGTATGGGCCAATAGGCCCTCTGCAATTCTTATTCCTACTACTATCCCCTCTACTACACCTTACTTTGCTCCTCACCTCTCTCTTGCCGATTTATTGCCTGCATCTACTTCCTCATCACCACCATTTGGTCACCACTTGGTCCGGGAGACATCTCCCGTCACGCAAGGTGCAGTTGCGCCTCCACAGATCTCCAGTATCATCTTTTGATACTGGTAATGGCTCGAAAGGGCCACCACTTACGGGCTATTCATGCCCGTGCCACCTCTTGGGTGGCTTAATCTTCATCAATCATTCCTCATCACAATCGACTTGAGAATGGTCTAGGACGGACCGAAACGTCGTCGTCCCTTCACCTTCTAGTGTGTGGTCTGGTCAACATACTTTAGCCACGTTATTGTGACTCATCGCCTGCATAAGGGTTTTGGAGTCAGTGCAGGGTTTAGTTGGTAATGAGACTCGGCACCTTTCGGGGCTGCCCCATTCGGGTTAGGGACGGAGGCATTTGAGCCAGTTCCTCCTACCGAGACTTCTAGGTCCCACCAGCAGGCCCCCTTCCTTTCAGCCTTTCCTCAGGCTTAGCGTCCCCACGGCCCGGTCCTTGACTTTTTGTTACACACCCCTTGGTGTGTAACCGCAGTGTAACAGCTGGGATTCGTCGTAGCAGCTGTCTAACTCCTGGGTACCTATTTACTGCTAGGTTTACAGGAACAGCAGGGTGAAAGAAACTGCCCATTTGTTTCTGTCTCCACCAGGGATTGAACCCGGAACCTCAGGATTACAAATCCGAAGCGCTGTCCACTCAGCCGTCAGGCCCCAGGTAGGATGTTGGCCTTGTGCTGCTGTACATGCAGGTTCCTTCCATTTCCTGGTTGATACCTGGTTGATGGGGTTCTGGGAGTTCTTCTACTCCCCAAGCCCGGCCCGAGGCCAGGCTTGACTTGTGAGTGTTTGGTCCACTAGGCTGTTGCTTGGAGCGGCCCGCAGGCCTACATACCCACCACAGCCCGGTTGGTCCGGCACTCCTTGGAGGAATAAATCGAATTTCCTCTTGAAGATGTCCACGGTTGTTCCGGCAATATTTCTTATGCTTGCTGGGTGGACGTTGAACAACCGCGGACCTCTGATGTTTTATACAGTGTTCTCTGATTGTGCCTATGGCACCTCTGCTCTTCACTGGTTCTATTCTTTATTTTCTACCATATCGTTCACTCCAGTATGTTGTTATTTTATTGTGTAGATTTGGTACTTGGCCCTCCAGTATCTTCCAGGTGTATATTATTTGATATCTCTCGTCTTTTTCTAGTGAGTACATTTGGAGGCCTTTGAGACGATCCCAATAATTTAGGTGCTTTATTGCGTCTATGCGTGCCGTATATGTTCTCTGTATTCCCTCTATTTCAGCAATCTCTCCTGCTCTGAAGGGGGAAGTGAGTACTGAGCAGTACTCAAGATGGGACAACACAAGTGACTTGATGAGTACAACCATTGTGATGGGATCCCTGGGTTTGAAAGTTCTCGTAATCCATCCTATCATTTTTCTGGCTGTCGCAATATTAGCTTGGTTATGCTCCTTAAACGTTAGGTCGTCAGACATTTTCGGCATCCTTGATGCCGGATGCATTTCGGCATCCTTGATTGCTGAGGATTTGTGAGCCTGTGGGCATTTGGCTTCGGTCTTGCGCTTCTTTTCCCTTCTCGAGATGTCTTTGGCCTGGCTTGAGGAGGATGTGGAGGCATTGAGTGCCTGGCCTTTGTCTGGTGTGCTGTCATTGATGGCTCAGGCATCAGCTGCAAAGCTGTTTGCTGTTTGCACCTATCCTGTTTGCACCAGGGGTTCGCCCTGTTGACGGGGCGATGGGGAGAGGCTTGCTCTATTTGCTGTCGCTTGGTCCCACAATTTGTGGGCATTTTTGATCGTGTCATCTGGCATGTGGTGGCGTTGGGGGTTCCTTCCCCTTCGGAGGGTTCAGGGCTGGCGGGGCGGGCCTCTTCCCTTGCGCTTTGTCAGGTCTTCTCAGAGTGGGTGCACTTGGGTGTAGTCATAATGACCCCGTCCCTCAGGTGGGTTTCCTGCCTGTTTCTAGTGCCGAAACGGGACTGTGTGGATCTGAGATTCATTCTAGACTTGTCCCGTCTGAACCCCTGGACTCATTGCCCCCCCCTTTCGGATGACCACTCAGTCTCAGGTCCAGCTTCTTTTGGAGCCCCTGTCCACAGAATGGATGGTAGATGCCAATTCCTTCTGTTGGCTCTGCCAGACATACGGACTCCCAAATGTGGTCCTCTTCGCGTCAGCATGGTCTTGGCGTCTCATGATCTATGTGGCATCCTTACCTGACTGCGAGGCTGTCATGGTGGACACATTTCAGCTGGACTGGTCGAGGTGGGGTTACCTGTACCTCTTTCCCCCGGTCCAGCTTTTTCTGTTTCGGGTTCTGGTTCAGTTGGAGTCCAAGGAAGAGTAGTCTTCATGGCCCCTTGTTGGCCGGCCCAGCATTGGTTCCAGGCACTGCTTGCTCAGTGTATGTGAAACCAAGGAATTTTCCACAGCTCTGCCTCTTCCAGCAGGTCGGACCGGTCCGGTACACGACTGGTTCAGTCTTCTCCTCCGCTTTTCATGTCGGGTCTTTTTGATGCGGCTTTATCACCATTTGTAGTGTAATCAGGTGGCTTCATTGATGGTGTCCCAACTGAGAGCTTCGTCTTGGCGACAGTATGAAGTTTCCTGGTCTTTCTGCCCTTTTCTCTCTCTTCGTTGGTTGTCTTCTATGTCTGATTGTGTTGTCTTGTCCTTTCTGTCTTGGCTTTTTCTGAACCATCCTTTGATGCTTAATACTGTCGCCTCGTATCGTGCGGTGCTGGCGCTCCAGCTTGCGTTCGGGGTGGGTGTCACTTCTACCCCGTTACATAAGCTTTCTCGTGTTTTGTTTCACCTCCGGCTTTCTCATGCATCGCCTGATCCCTCCTGGTCCTTGGACATGGTGCTCTCATACCTTTCTTCTCCTGGGTTTGTGGTTGCCCCTTCAGTTCAAGATTGTTTTTCCAAGGCTCTGTTTCTGTTGGCATTGGCCTGTGGGGAGTGGGGTCAGTGAGCTTCATGCTCTCCTCCAGCGCAAGGGTTTCTGCTCTTTCGGTCCTGGTGGTTGGTTTGTTCGTTTACATCTTTTTCCTTCTTTCCTGGCAAGGAAGGAGATATCATTGCCACATAGTGCTATAAATTCACCAGCTATTCTGTTGGGAATTATTGTTAATACAGTAGTCTTTGGACTTATAACATCATAAAAACATCTCATTTGAATTAATTTAATTATCAGTATCAAAATAGAGTAAATGTGACCCTTCTATCACTTAATGACATCTGGACAAGTAGAGCCAGGCGTCAGTGGTGTGGGAGGTCAGCCATTGTTAAAAGACCGAGTAGTTGGAGCAAATTTGGCTCCTATAATTCTCTCTTGGATGAAGTGTTATGGAGATCAAATTAGTGCTTATTCCATCATCAACATGCAGTCAACAACCACAAGTGAAGTGTCTTTCCGAAATCTTATCTTAAGTCATTATTGGCCAGTAATGTTATGTAGATAGGATTATTTCCGGTTAGAACACTAACGAACGACTCAACCCAGGTAATTAAGCCTTGTCCCTATCTAATAATATATAAATGTTTCATTTGATATAACTGTCATATATTAGGATTCGGGCTTACAGCTAGTGCCCTCTGACAGGAATAGAAGAGAAAGCAGTACAGTTGTTTGGTACATCAGTACAGGGATGGTGGATGCTAGCCTCACCCAGAGGATTATTTGGTGTCATCATTCGTGTTTTTACCTGGTGGACTAAGCTTACCATACAATAAGATAAGGCACCTCAATTTATTTACTAATATATGTAGTTTAATATTGTAGTTTTAGTGGCTGCATATATATAAATTTAACACTTTCGCGCTCTCCGCGAAGGTCAGTCAGCCAACCGTAAGTGCTCACTGCGTTTTGCCGCGTAAGCGTAAAAGCGTAAAACGTAAGCGTAAAAACAAAAATGTGTATACTCTTTTTACTCTTATGACCTTAGTTCTCGAGCTACGTATTTCATTTTGGTACCAACGTGTTCGCAATAAAATTCTCTAGAAGAACATCAGTAAAAAAAAGTCACAAAACGTATAGGGATACCAGCACCAAATAAATAACTACGAAGATGACTCGCTGTGAGCGCCCAACAGCAACAAAATGTTTTTACTCTTGGGATTGTTATCACCTCCACACTTGTCCTACAGCGTTAATTTTGGTATCAATGGACTCGCAATGAAATTCCCAACACGGTGATATGAATATAAGCGTAGAATAATGATGCGGCCCGCCCGCAAGAGTGTGGGAAGTGGTGAAATTGTTACCCGGTATCGGTGACGGGACGACGCACGGCGCTTTGAAAGTTTTTATACTTATTTCACTCTCATGACATTAATTTTCTATGTACGTCATTCATTTTTGTGTCAATGTGTTCGCAATAGAATGTTCTATGAGCCCATAGGTAAAAAATATCAACAAAGCGTAAGTTAGAATAGCGCCAAATATAAAACAACGCTGGAACATATCAGTGAGCGTCAAACACACACGAAATGTTTTTACTTTTGTTATGTTTGTCAAGTTTATACTTGTTGCACACAGTTATTTTTGGTTGTACATTGATCGGAATAAAATTCCCTAAACAGACATATGCATATAATACATGATATGGGGGAAGCATTACCAGTATAAACGGCTAAAGTCACCCACCTGCAACCCGTTTGGGACATAATACCATTTGATCGAAGTTATCCACACCTTTCATGAACTTATTGTACCATGCAGCCTAGTGGTGAGAAAGAGACCCTCATGGCGCGCAGTTTGAAACAAACCCAAAGTAAATCGGACAAATATTTTAAAAGAGGACATAACTTTATGTCCACTATGCGGTAGCGTTAGGCGAAACAGGACTCACCGGTGAGTCCTGATAGCGCGAAAGTTATAAACCCCCCTAATGTGTAAGAATCGAGTTGTGAGAATATTGCTGAAATACAGTCCACTAAACATCATACAAATTGCTATCGAAATATATATATTACCATAAATATAAATTCTATATAAATGCATATAAATCAAATAAATATAAATCTCACAAGTCGGTTCCCACAATGGTGTTTAACGAAGATAAGCTCCAGCTCATGCGCTACGGAAAAAAAAAATGAAAATATAAAAACGGAAACCACGTACAAAACTCAGTCAAATCATTACATAGAACGAAAAGGCAATGTAAAGGATTTGGGTGTACTCATGTTGGAAGACCAGTCAAATCATAACATAGAACGAAAGGCAATGTAAAGGATTTGGGTGTACTCATTGTCGGAAGACCTTACCTTTAAAGAACACAATAAAGTAGCCGTCACAACTGCAAGAAAAATGACAGGTTGGATAAGAACTTTTTACACTAGAGATGCTATACCGATAATGATACTTTTCAAAACGCTAGTACTCTCTAGAGTGGAGTATTGCTGCACAATGACAGTCCCTTTCAAAGCTGGAGAAATTGCTGACCTGGAGAGCGTGCAGAGATCCTTTACTGCAAGAATCCTCTCGGTAAAACATCTAAACTACTGGGACCAACTAAAGAGCCTAAATCTGTATTCCCTTGAGCGCAGGCGGGAGAGATACATAATAATTTACATGTGGAAAATAGTAGAGGAGCTGGTCCCAAACCTGCACACAGAAATAACATCACATGAGACCAGAAGGCATGGCAGGATGTGCAGAATACCCCCGTTGAAAAGCAGAGGTGCAACAGGTACTCTGAACTATATCAATATCAGAGGCCCGAGACTCTTCAACATGCTTCCACTACACATAAGGGGCATAACTGGCTGACTCCTCGCAGTGTTCATGAGAGAGCTGGATAGGCACCTTCAAAGGATACCTTATTAACCAGGTTGGGATTCGTACGTCAGGCTGCGAGCAGCCGCGTCCAACAGCCTGGTTGACCAGTCCAGCAAGCAGGAGGCCTGGTTGATGACTGGGCCACAAGGATGCTAAGTCCTGGAAGCACCACAAGGTAACCTCAAGGTAAGGGTCCTGGATGCCTGTTATTTGGTTAGCATTCCTGCTCCTGGGCGTTCCTATGTTGCTTTGGGTTGCAAGTTGCAGCCAGTTGTCTCGAGTTCACGTTGAAGAGTGTGTGGCGGCCACCTCCCGGATAAGTCCCTCTTTTCCTTATCTTTGGTTATGTATCTCCAGGGAGCCGTAGGGGCTCTCCACAGAAAACCAGCTTTGAATGTAATGAAACACCATTTTTTGGGTGAGCCCCGGAGGCTCCCTGGCAACTCTCCCTCCCTCCGGTTGGTGGTTTTTCGCGTTGTTTGATGCTTAGCTTCCAAACTGGAGTGCTGGTAGCTGGTGCAGGGAGGTCCAGGGCTTCCCCCTCCCACTTTGGGGGAGGGGAGGGCTGCACGGACGAGTGACGCGACGGTGGAGTGTGACGTTTGCTTGTTTCCTTGGGATTGGAGGGCATTCTGCCTCTTTTCGGTTTTTAGTTGTAATTTTCTTACCATGTGGGATTTGTTTTGTTATGCCTACCTTTCTGGGTGCCTAACCTCAATCAATAGTAAATAAGGAAAACCCTCAACCACAGGGAGGTTTTCCAGGGCCATTGCTCCCTGTACCTCTCTGAAGAGGCCAGGTTCTGGCTCGTGGTCCCCGGTAGGCCATTAGTCCATAGACTAATGCCCCGGTCTAATGTCTCACATATTAGCCCGATAGCTTCAGGGAGCCTCAGGGCTCACCCAGAAAATGGCGTTTCATTGCATTCAATGCTGGTTTTTAATGGCTAGAGAAATCTGCTATGATCATTCTTCCATTTCCTGCTTTGATGAGGTGTGGAGACATCATCCAAGAGAAGATAATTGAACAGTATTTGAAACTTTGAAATACATGATGCTGAAAAATTATACTCGTCATTTGATTTTTGTAATTAAAATGTTATTGATGTGTGCGAGAGAAGATGGCTGAGAGTGAATTTTAAACAAAATACTGATATTAATTAGGAAAGGCTACTTTCACTTTATTTTGTCAATTTTACATGAGTACAGAATACTCAAATGTCTAATGTAATAATTGCATTGAGAAACTATTTTACAGGAGTTGAGTCAATCTGTGTATGACAAGAACAGGCAGAAAATATCAAGTGGTGTGGAAAATGGATGTGAAGATAAAGAAGATACTGAGATTACAGATAATATTCAGGTAAATAATAGTGTGTATACTAATTTCATTGTTATATTTTACCCTATTACTACCTTAGATGTTGAATATATTTTGCAAACATGTTGATACTAACCAATTGATGTACATTACCCATGAAATTCAGGTCTGTATTATATAATTTACCAGGTGTACTACAGGTATGAGATGTGTGTAATTTTCCCAGTGCCTATAAATTATCTAGTACCCTGGGTCACACAAGAATTCAGGGGTCCTTTTATGAAAGCAATTCCTTGTCTGGTCTAAGGCCCAAAAATATTGCTTTGGGTGAACATGATAAGCATCTTTCTGAGCAATTCAAGGGGCATCTAACACATTTGGTTGCCCCTTGAGGTAAAATCCACTGTGTCCTTTGGATAAGGACCATGGCAGTTGTGTAAGTAATGGGAACCACTGGAATCTTGCCAACTGTTTATAAATCGTCAGTAAAGGTGATGGCGGCTCACTGAAGAGAGGCTTAATCTTACTAAAAATGACCTACTGAGGTACATTCCACAAAAAATTAAAGCTGTGTAAGAGTTGTTTGTAATGAAATGTTGACTGACTGTCTTCCCTGAGGAATCCAGTACTGTTGTCTGATATGTGTGAGTGTGTCTAACACTCCTCCATGTTTGATGATTTGTTGATGTGTATGTAATACAATCAACCTTGTGATCCAATGATTCTTGGGTAAAAGCCATGGATGCACAGTATCTAGATTGATATCTGCGTGTTTAAGTCTCCCTCCACAATGCAGAATGTTGTGATTTTCTTGATCTATCCACAGACTGAGATTGTGTTTTAACTTATGCGTAAGATTTTCATAGTTATTCCCATAAGTTTCTCTCTGGGCTTGTCTTACCCAATAGATAAGTGCATCTGGAAAAGTGTATTTTATACCTCTTTTCCTGAGATAATGAAGGACGTTCTGTGTTACATTGATTAATTTGATGAGCGAGGAGTAACGAGTACAGTCCAAGACTGGTATTTGAGCTTGCTGCCTGGTGGTAGTTATGGTTTGTGTCATAATGATGTGTGACTCTTGTTCAGGCCAACTACCATTCACTAACCATCGAGGCCCATGAAACCAAATATCTGCCATTGCAAACTGTTTAAACATCATACCTCTGGGTAAGAGATCAGCTGGATTATCTTTTGTTGGTACATGCAACAATTGAAAGACTGCAGAAATTTCTTTAATTTCCGAGATGCGATTTCTTACATACGGAGTCAGACAGTTGTCATTTCATACCCATTGTAAGACAGCTTCATTGTCAGACCATATAATGACATCTTTGGTGGTTCATGGTAGACAAGACTTGTTTGATATGCACTGCTAAGCATGTGCCAGTTAGCAATGCAGTTAGTTCCATCTGAGGCAAAGTCCTCCTTTTTAATGGAGCGACTCTAGCCTTAGAGGTGATCAGATATGATTGATTAGAAGTCAATAAATAAGCACAAGCTCCAAATGCTTTGGCTGATGAGTCTGCAAATACATGTAGTGTTACCTCATGATTTTCCTCGACTGTGTGTCTCGGAAAGATTATCTGTTTGACTAAAGCTTGTTCTTGAGCCATTTCCATCCAAGCTTTTTGTAACTGGAGTGGTAGTGGATCATCCCAACCAACTTTTGTCTTCCAAGCTTCTTGCACCAATAAACGCCATATGATAGTTAAAGGATTTAGTAGACCAAGTGGGTCGAATACTTTGCTAACCTGTGAAAGCAAATCCCTTTTTTGTAGCAATGCAATGGTTTCTGGTACTGATTTGATTGATATTGTGTCTGAGATTAGGTCCCATTCCATACCTAAAACCTTTTGTGATTCTGGTACAAGATATTCAGGGTAATCTCTTGCTATTTGATTATTCAATGTTACATTATTAGAGGCCCATGATTGTAGTGTCATGTTGGCACCTTGTAGCTCCTTGTTGGCCTCTTGAAATATTTGTAACAGATCAGTAGTACTGTTAACTGTCCCATGAAAATTATCTGCGTATAGATTTTGACTGATTTCAGCCTTAGAGGGACTTGATGATTTTTGTAGATGAGTATCTAGAGTTGCTTGCAGCAAAAAATGGGCTAGACGTAGCACCGAAGAGTACAGAGTAGAATCTGTACGTCACAATAGGACTATTGAGATCTTCTGGGTTCTCTACCCATAGAAACTTAGTGAAGTCTCTATTTTCTTCCTGTAAGCCAACTCTTAGAAAGGCCTTGCTTATGTCAGCAGAGAATGCATATTTGTTAAGTCTAAACTTCAGCAGTATGTCATACAATTTCTGAGTTAGACTTGGACCTGTTTGCAAACAATCATTTAGACTGGTTCCTTGGGATCCAGATTTAGAGCTACAATTAAAAACTATCCGTTAAGGAGTTGTTTTTTATTCTCTCGTTACAGTCATGTAGGGTAAAAATTGGCCTGTTTGTTTATTGTCGTGTTTCACAACATCGATGAATTTATTCTGTAGGTGTTGAGCAATAATCTCATGGTAGAGTTGTAAATGCTTAGGCCTTTTCCTTAGCTTTGCTAATTGAGATTTAAATTGACTATAAGCCATATGATAGTTGGTAGGTAAGGTTTTATGGTTGATTTTCCATGGTAGCCTTACCCAGTACTGTCCATCATGGTACTGTACAGTTTCTAAGTGCTGATTATATGTACAGACATCATCAGGACTTGGTTGTTCAGGAATTATTCCTATTGCATCAAGTTCCCACAATTGATGCACGGATTCTAATCTGTCATCAATCTTGTGGGGGATATTAAGTGGTGACTGTTCTTTGCCTAGTCAAGCCACTATTACAGTTTCTGTATGGAGTGATTTATCAGGAGTTGAGGGTTCAAGATCTAGTACAGGTCCTGTTATCAATAAGCCTCCTGCTGATTTGAGTAAGTTCATACCCAAATTCCTCTGATCCCAAAATGAATCGGTGATAGTAGTCGGCTCCAATCAGGATTCCGATATCCTTTATGTAGTCAGAATGGATCAGAGGATCTGGTAATTGGATTCCTTTTTCTTTCAGGAATTTAGTAGTAGCTGCCAGACCAGTCACTTCTAGTTCAGTAGGAATTTTGTCAACTACTATGGCTTCAACTGTCTTTTGGGATGTACCTAGACAGACATTAAGTTGTACTACCTGATAGGTTTTAAGACCTGAATTGGTAAAAAAACCCTGATATGGATGTAGATAATTGCTTTGAAGATTTAAGTTGTAAATCTTCTGCTGTACTCATTACTCCTCGCTCATCAAATTAATCAATGTAACACAGAACGTGTTTCATTATCTCAGGAAAAGAGGTATAAAATACACTTTTCCAGATGCACTTATCTATTGGGTAAGACAAGCCCAGAGAGAAACTTATGGGAATAACTATGAAAATCTTACGCATAAGTTAAAACACAATCTCGGTCTGTGGATAGATCAAGAAAATCACAACATTCTGCATTGTGGAGGGAGACTTAAACACGCAGATATCAATCTAGATACTGTGCATCCATTGCTTTTACCCAAGAATCATTGGATCACAAGGTTGATTGTGTTGCAAACACATCAACAAATCATCAAACATGGAGGAGTGTTAGACACACTCACACATATCAGACAACAGTACTGGATTCTGCAGGGAAGACAGTCAGTCAAATTAATCTTGAAAAATTGCATGATATGCCGAAGGTACGATGCAAGAACTCGCTCTTATCCAGGGCCACCACCGCTACCAAAGGAATGAGTGGTCCATCTACATCCTTTCAAAATGTCAGGAGTAGATTATACAGGAGCAATATATCTAACAGGGACTGCCGATAAGCAACCTATCAAGGCATACATCTGTCTGCTCACCTGTACCACCACCAGGGCAGTACATCTAGAGGTAACACCCGATATGACTGCTCAATCATTTATCCAAGCTTTCCGCAGATTCGCAGCACGCCGATCATGCCCTAAGCTGATGATTTCAGACAATGGAGCAAACTTGGTAGCTGAAGAAGCATGTCTACGGGAAATCTGTGCCAATCCTGCAGTTACTTCCACACTGGAACAGCGTCATTGCAGATGGAAATTTATCCCTCCGAGAGCCCCGTGGCATGGAGGATTTTATGAACGGTTAATAGGAACTGTCAAAAGATCCTTGAGAAAATCTCTATACCATCAGAAAATCAATCTTCAAGAACTCCAGACAGTAATCACGGAAATAGAATCAAGGGTGAATAACCGGCCGTTGACATACTTGTCTGATGATCCTACTCAACATGAGCCATTAAGTCCTGCCCACCTAATGTATGGAAGACTTCTGACTCCAGTACCATTTCTAGTGGATGATGAGATCAGAGATCCCTCATATGTGGGTCAGAGCAAGTTGGTTCAGGGGTATAAGCATCTGTCCAGCATAATCCAAAAATGGAATGATGTATGGACAAAAGAATATCTTACATCTCTACGAGAACATTACTATGGGGCCAATGTCCCTTACAACAAATCTAATCTCCAACCTGGTGATATTGTCTTGGTAGACAGTGACGGCCCTAGGGCTGACTGGCCATTGGGTAAATTTGTCTCTGTCCATCCAGACAGCCAGGAGATTTTGAGAATAGTCAAAATCCTGTCTAAAGGAACAACTTCCCTGAAGACATTGTACAAACTCATCCACATGGAATCAGTGAGTCAGCTACAGTTAGATCCTGGGAGACCCCCAGAACCTCCAACTCCACATGACCCACAGACTCCTAACAGGCACACTCGTCCACAACTGACAGCCGCACAAAAGTTCAAGCAAAATTTGCATTTGTATTATCAATCCGATGGAGAGTAAATGAATACATATGGTTACTATTGTCCTTAGTATTGGACTCTGTGCCAGTTCTCTCCATCTGAAAGATGTGGGAAATTTTAACCCACTATATTCATATTATTATCTAAGAAATGTATTATTTCTAAATCATATCAAAATCACTACAGATTCATTATACATTTGGATCCTACATGACAATGCCTATGATCACGT